AAGAGAAGGAAATTCTCCATTCTTTGTCTGCGTGTTTTCGTAGTTTGTGCCCTATTGCTACAAAGTGGCATCCACTTCCGACTATGTCATTAACAATAAAAGATGGAGGCCATGAGTGACATCTGTTGATCCATTTGGAGGCAGAAAGGGGCCAAACATCACAGACAAAACATAGGGCAGCGTCAAACTCTACTACCCCGTAAACACCACTATAGCTACCACACGGGCCATGTTCTATAGAATTAGGTATAATTGCTGAACATGTGATCTGTCTGTATTTGGAACTGGATATATAGAATCTGTCATTTATTCTCATACATGCTCTCTTTACACTTTCCCTATATGTTGGTGTCAGTAGTTCAAGTAAACCAAATCCTGGTGGGCTATCAGAACAATCACAGAGAATCAGTGTTTTTCTATTTAGGTCATAATTCTGAGCCTGGTCCAAGTCCCAGATTACACAGTGGTCATTTGGCCAATACATACTGTCCAAATCTGACCCCTCTAGCCTGAATCCTTCTCTGCGACTGCCACTAGTCATCATCCTGTGTTCTTTTCTTGTATTAATTACTTGATCGCTCATCCTTTCCATGAAGTCCACTATCTCTCTCCTCATGATCACCGTCTCTGAGGACCCCACTTTGTGACTCAGTCCCATAAACACAGACTCTGATAAATGCTGTATACCTAAGTCCCTGCACAAAACATTCAAAATAAATATATAAATAATGTTTAAAAAATAGTTTTTTTTAAGAAAGTTGTATGTTTCAATATTAATCCAATGTATTTTGATTTTAATTATAGTCTTACAGGTCGTTGTTTTTATTGTACAACATCTCAATAAATACATAATCATACAATGATTTATAGAATTTGAAGAAATATCTGCATGTCTGCATTGATTATTAACAGGGTACATGTATGTAGAAGATGTTTTTTTTCTTACAGCCATTTGTAGGAAGTCATTTTCACATTATAGTGTTCCTGTTACTTTAATTAAAGACTATAATTAGAAGTGGAAAATTCCAAATGTTCACTTCCAGTTTCACAGTGGAAAATCCCTAATGTAATTTTCAGTTTATAAATACATTAACGTGTATGAAATCAATAATATCATAGTTTGGTATTTGTATGAAATATTAGAAGTCTTGCACTTGCATGATTTTGAGCCATGAGCACATGCAGTAGTTTTTTGTTAAAACACATGTATAGGGCATAATTAATTAACTGATAATGAAAATTATTAAAATAGGCACCCCCTTTCAAAGTGTAACTCAGAGATCCCTCTGTAAACTATGCTTCAAGTAGGTCATTAGGACATATTACAATAATCAAAAGGAATGTATTTTTTTTAGCAATAAATAAACAATGAAGCTAATGAATATGTCAAATTGATTTGGAAATCTCACCAACTTATTTGTTGAATCTTACATTACTCTCAGTATCTTGAATCCTCTGGTATAGTTCAGTTTTTGGCTCACCCGAGCCAAAGTTACTCAGCTGAGCATATTGTGGCCCATGGGCTTATTGTTCTCGTCCAATCGAATTCTTGATAATAAGGTTTGACTGTAGTCGGAAAAAATGAAATGTTTGTCCCAGTCATTTTTTTTTATTTAAATCTTTTTTATTATCCCATCATATATTAAAGTACAATGCTTAGTGCCAGGGTTGGGGCCCTGGATTCACTATGCTTACAGGGTTACAACACAAGCTTATCTTATGATTGGACAATTTTTTTTTGTTAACCCATTCACTCATCATTCACTACAAAGGCATGCATATGTCCATATCAGTAGCTAACAAAGATATTGTCAACAGAAAAAATACACATCTGAAAACTGCAATTCTGTAGGTAATAGCAATTATACAACTTAATCTACATACATGATTTTCGTCTTAAAATGTTATCTCATTCCATCGTTTTTTGAAGCTGTCCATATCTCCAATTTTCTTATAAATATATTTCTCACAATTAGAGTAATATACAATTTCTTGTTTGACTCTCTCAAAAGATAATGTATTTTTCTTTAGTTTGGTTCTATAGATATACTTTTTAATTATACATATTACTAGATTTAAAATATTGGTATATTTGTAATATTTTCCCAACAGAACATCAACCTTATTCAGATTTATATCAAGTCCAAACTTTTCTAGCATCCAATTCAAAACATTTTCCCAAATTTCTACAACAAACTCACATTCCCAAAAGAGATGGCACATTGTCTCTGGATGTGTTTTACAAAAACTACATAAAAACGAGTCAGTAACACCAATTTTGTATAAAAATGTATTTGTGGCTAAAATGTTTCTTTCAGATACTTTGTCTCATTGTAACGAGATATACCCCAATGCGGTCGTGACACGTGAATGATTTTTGGCTTGGGTATCGACTTGTGCACATCTCCGATGGTAAAGCATTTGAGAACACATGAGGTGATCAAGACATTTTAAAACCACAACAAACAACATAATAATCATATTTCTGAATAATTATTGATTTGAATCAAAAGGAAAAAAATGCAAGTTTGGAAGAGAGATTTAGATGCTTTAGTACGTATTTTACAGTGCGCCAATTTATATAATTATGCAGAATAAAGTTGAAATAAAAAGCAGTAAAATCTGCAAACACATTTTCAAAGTATATCATTTGAATGGAACGAAATAACCTACGTCTTTGATTTGCAGGTCCTGAAGATGCAATTGATGCACATCGCGAAAACGCCTCGAACGCTGTAAACGTACCCACACCTAGAAATAAGGTTACTACATCGGTTCGAAGATGTGCACAAGTCAAATGATATACACCCTGAATCCCATTTATTGAAACATGCATCACAAAAAGGAAATAAACTCCATAAAAGCTCAATAGTAAACACACTGCATTACTCCGTCAGACTAGCACGTCGATACACTTAGTCCGTGCTGATCACATTTTGATCAGGGAAAATATCACAAGTGGAAAGAGAAGTTATTTGGTATTTGCGCCGCTGAAAAAGGGGGGGGGGGGGGTTAAAGTATCATAACTGATGTTCATAAGCTATAATTGTGAATTGTCTATCTACACGTACTTCTAATATACATTCTATACAAAGTCATGTATATAGTCTGCAGTTGGTTTGCGTCGCAAAATTCATTTGTCAAATATAACTGATTATTTTAGTACTAATCTCAAATCTAAACCAAGTAATGTGAGGTACGGTAATCATTTACTTCAAATCTTAAAAGCAATTCACCAGAATACAAATTTTTATGTGTACATCTATACGTCCTTTAACACACACACAAACACGAAGAAAGACCACCCCCTGTTCAGATTGAACATTTAGGCATTTAATTTTTTTTATTTAAGGCGGGGGGGGGGGGGGGCACGCAAAAATAATTGACATGACCGTTATTTAGATATTCTTGGAAGACAGACATTTCTGCCGAATTCAATTTTGAGATTTTATAAAAATGTGTCACTTCGACCACAAAGTATGTGCATTTTGAGGAATGTAACTGTTTTATGTTATTACAGAGAGTCTTTCGAGATTACAGTATCCCTGCCTGATAGTTTAGCTATTTTTTTGTATAAAAATAATTTCTTTAGGAGTATCTGACAGATAATTTCAAGAGCTATAATGTTTTTGACCCGTCAGTCAGTCTTTATTTTTAATCTTTTTTTTCTTTTTTTTTTTTTTTTTTTGGTCAGCACAACTTCTAATAAATCACTGCACGGAATTTTGTCGAACTTTGCAGATATTCATAGGAGACAATGTGTGTGTGTATATTTGCCCATCACCAGAAAATTCCGAATTCTTAATTTTTTTCGAGAATTTCCGCACTTTTACATTTAGATTTTGGCCATATCTTGAATATAGAGATGAGCAGTCTGTCAGCACAATACCTCATAAACTGCCTCATACAATTTCGTTAAACTTTGCAGATATTTAGGACACAATGTGTATAGATGAGCATATTACATGGATATTACGATTCCTTTATTTTTCTGGGAATTTCAGCACTTCGACGTTTGGGCGAGCGTGGGGTATGTGAACTTGCTCACTTTTTTTTCTTTCATTGTGCATTAAGGTAAGGTTTGCGTTAACAGGGAGATAACTCTTGCGAATCACCAAAGCGTTTGAAACAGGCGACTTTAAACCAGCGATGCTAAGCATCTCGGTAACGAATTTCCTCTGTCATACTTGATGTTTGTTGTCACTTATTGTTAGGACTAAAAACAAAGGACGTTTTAAGGAGAAAGTCTTATAACAAATCAAAGCATAGGAATCTGAAAAGCCTTTGAGATTAGCGTGATGCATGTGGATGAACCAATAAAGGAGGACTTGTTTATTTTCGATACGGAATGTGGCAAGTTGTAGGCCATTCCGATCAGAAGAAAGTTATCGACGCATTGTGCTGTTGTGTGTTTCTCGCTTCACCACTACACTAAAATTTTAAGTGAGAATGGGAAGGAAAAAAGAAAAGACCTGAGAGTATCCTGTAAAGTATTATGCTATATGCAGTCCGAACAGGGAAGAAAAGTCACGGTGCATTTGACCAAGTCCAATGATGATGTTGACAGTTTGATTGTTGATAGTATTTTCATCAGGTAATTATTTAACTATTCATTTTACTGAAAGTTATGAATGATCTTCTGACTACAGATTTAAAAACGATGAATAAACGGTACAAGGATGTCAGGATGTGGCTAATATCCCAACATTGCCAAAAAATAAAAATGCATTCATTCAAGAAATTATGAAAAAAATCCTTGCTTTTTAGGCCTAATATTTGTAACATTATTGGAACAGGTATTCAATTGTTCAAGTTACCTTTTAAATGAGGTTTGATTTTAATTAATATCTCATTTTTTAATTAATACAAATTGTGCATGACAAGAACATTAATTTTCTTGATCAAGCATTTGCATTTCACTAATTCAATCTACATGTATAAATTGTACAATAATTTCATATTGATTCTTCATTGATTATATTGGAAATTTCATTTCATTGAGTGAATGAAATTCAGTCCAATTCCTTATGCAATTCCAAAAATGCAATTCCTTAAATGTTATTGTAAAAATGAACACATATGATTTCAGATCAATTGGGTCATTAATTGGAATAGATAAGAACAAAAAAAAGTACTTCAGTGTTTCCTTAAAAGATTTGTGCCATCAATCAAAGTAGAGGTCATCCCATATCAGCTCAAGAATATTAAAGAAAGTTGGATGGATCAAGCTAAGATGTTGAACCAGACATGGCAAAGTCAATGGAGATTTGGAAAAGAAATGATGATTTGTTGTACCCAATGCATATTTTTTATATGTCTATAGATTATAGAAAAAAATTTAATGTTTAACAGCATCCTATCTACCTGGTAGTATATACATGCTGTTTTCAATATATTTAGAAAATATGTGTATGTGATGATTGCAGTGCATGCTCTGTTTGTCCATCTTTGAATTTGTTTTCAGTAAAAAATAAATGTATACATTAAGGTATTAATTGAAGGTTGCTTTTGTCTACACTTACAAGTAACAAGTTTCTTAAAAGGGTTATTTTGTAAAATTGCAAGGAAATTAATACATGAACAATTAAATTTAATATTTTTATTCATTAAATTTTGTTCTTACCAGGACCTAATATGCTCAAATAAGTATTTCTGAAAACTGATGAGTTTTGTAAATAAAACTGCAGTGAACATTTAACAGTTTAAAATATGACACTTGGAAATTGAAAGGTTGTTAATTTAGTAGGAATGATAAGACCAGTTTAGTAATCAACTAAAATTAAAATCTTTCACAAATACATGTAGTTTATTTTAAAATTGTTTACATTTATAATCTTTTAATTTTTTTCTGTATTTTGATTTTAAAAAGGAGAAAAAAATTTTATATTTAAATTATTATTTCATGGATATCAAGGAGCTATATCTATCACTCTAACATTGTTTCTTTTTCCCTGTTCTTGACAAATATTTATG